TTAGCGAATTCGAAAGATTTTTTAATTGTCGAAACGGCAACACCAAAATATTATGTATTACATAAAGTTTTAAAAAAATATATAAAAGTGAAATAATATCAACAAAAAACAGTATTTTTGCTAAAACAAAATATTTTTAGTTTTAATAAATAAGATTATTCAATAATTTTGCCGCTCACTGTATACCCTCATCATTCTAAAATTTTTTAGATAGCCCCCTCCCTTTAATTCTTGGATCCGCCCCTGTAGCACATTAAACTTTGATATCACAATTACAGCAGCATAAAAATGATTTTCAAAGTTAAGATAAAAAATTGTGTTTCATTCAAAATCTAATTGGTATTTTTTTTTGATTTTCTGATAAAAATTAGAATTTAAATTTTTGGGAGAAAATTACTTTTTAATTATTTTTTGGCCTTGTTTGTAAATAAAAAATTATCAAATAATTATGAAATGTACCTTATCAATGTCCAGATAAGTGTGAAAAACAGTTTTATTTAATTAGAGGTGGCTATTTCCTTTCTGCGCCTAACCGATGCCCCACCCGGTACAATAAACACTACATCAGAAACTAAACTACATCATTACATGAAATTATTTAATTTAATAAGTAGTAGTAAAAACTAGTTTTTTCAAATGGAACATTCAATATTTGGGCAAATCTGTAATTAAAATTTTATTATTCTGACACTGGAAAAAAAGGTAATTTTTTGTTTACGCTCCCGAAAATAAATAGTACGTAAAATGTTATTTTAGGTACTCAGTTCCCAGTTTTTCCAGACGAAAAAGTAAATTTGGTTACTATGGTGGACGAATTTTTTTAATTAATAGAAAGTGCGAATTCGTTTTTTGGGATCTTTTAGGGACTTGTAACAAAAATAACTATTTTCGTTTTATTTCGGGTTGTAAAAATTTTTCTCTGTTTTTTAAATACCATCGCATCCATAAATAAACTTTTCTTTCCACTCAGTCGGAATAATAAAGCAAAAAATGTTATTCCTTTGCAGTTTTGGCGTAAAAATATGAACTCAATCCGGGGACATACTGTCCACAATTTCTTCAGATTTATGATGCTTTATAAAAAAAAAATTATCCTGTAAGGACTATCAAAAAAAAAACTAAAAAGTTCTAGGACACTTACATGCAAAAATCAACAAAAAAACGTAATGTTTAGTCAAAACGTGACAATGTGGGGCAAAAACGGGACCTAAAAACAGCCTTTTTAATGTACCGTTTCGATTCAAACGATTACCTTTATTAGCGTGTTGAATTGGTACATGTAAATAAACTTTGAATGAGTCTCAGTTGCACGCTTATAATGTAATGAAATGACAATGCATAAAAAAAGTCATTGTCTTGATTCTTGCTGTACAATAAAACAACCAAATTAACTTAAATAACATTTGAAATGGTTTAATTTTTTTCAAACAAATTAACTGTTTCACATTAAATGACAAAGTTTTTAAATTTTTTCAGATAATTCCGATCAGAAAGTCTGCAAGTTGCGCCGAAGTGTCAGTGAACGGTTTAATCATGGCTCGAAGAAAGTTGTATTCCATGATACAATGGCATTACGTTCACGTCCCTCCCGAAGTGAATTGAGACTAGACTTAGGAGAGGAGGATCTAGAGCGATTAGACGGCCTAACTTCGAAAACTAGGAGAAAAAGTCCCACAAAAGTGCGACCGAATGAACCGCCACCACCGCCGCCACCGAGCAAACCCACACAGAAGCTTGGAAAAACCCAAAAAATTAAGGATGAAAAAAGTGAGAAGAAAATTGAGGAAACTTGTGCGAGTCAGCCTGCAAAAACCCAAAAATTTAAGGAACTAGTGGAGGAAAAAAGTGAGAAAAAAATTGAGGAAACTTGTGCGAGTCAGCCTGCAAAAACCCAAAAAATTAAAGATGAAAAAAGTGAGAAGAAAATTGAGGAAACGAGGCAAGAAGTGGCTCCTCCACCTTCTGTTCCTCCTCGAAAAAGGAGTAACAACAAGCAACCCCACGTGAACATAATTCAAACGTCTCCAAGTGTTCATTCCGTCCATGTTGAACCTCCCCCAAATGTTCAAATTGAACCATTGTCTCATTTCGTCCAAATTGAGTCACCACCAAGTGAACCAGCAAACAAAACGGTGGTTCAAATTAACGGCTCGCCGACGGTTCACAAATTACAGATTAAAAACGAATTCGCAGATGTCGTCAACATTCAAACGGTTTCCGTGCTTGATAATCCGCAAAGGAAGACATCAATCATGATAACAGGTGACGATTGTTATTCAACCGTAAACGTTAATGACGACGTTCCACTTTACCAATCTTCGGTTGTTGTAAAAGATACACCGAACGAGAAAACTGTTCACAATACCAAAAAGAGCAGTTCCGTTTACATCATCGGTAATTTCGTTACTCCACTGGTGGAAAATAACGAACTCAAAGTCAATGAATCGGAAAATATGCCCGAAAAAAAGGAGTACGAGGAATGTGATTTAATTGAAACTCCACAGATACATAAAAAGGAAAATCTCCTCTTAGACACATTCAATGAAAACAATATTCCCTCATCGGAGATGCTTAAAGAGCTCCTCAAAGACCCCGTGGAAGCAGTAAGACGGAATTTAGTCCCTCATGTCTGTGGTAAATCAGACGTGTCAAGGAGACCAAGACCCAAGAAATTCGTTTTCGAAGAATTAAATAGTATCAACATTGAAGAATCGCTCCTCCGAATGAAAAACTTGGACTTAAACGACGACGTCAACTCAGAACATAGTTCCTCGACTCAGTACGAACTCATGGACGCCAGTTCTGAGTGTTATACAGATCACAGTAATCGCAGTTCTGTCACTGAAGAAGAATTAGCAAATAGGACCAAGTTTTACGAGTTGTTGGCAGATTCTGCGCTCATTGAAGTGTCAGAAAGTGAAGATCATCATTATGAAAGCATTAAGAATAATTCGGATCCCATTTATGAAGAAATTGAAATTCCACCACCACTCCCGGCAAACCCCCCACCACTGAGTCTTTTAGACGACCTGCATCTGGACAAGGAATACACCACGAGGTACATAACACACTTTTGTCAGAAATAACACAAATTGCTTCATTTCAGTCTAAAATTAGGGTTTAAGAAATGAATTGTATAAAAGACATTAATTTAGAGTGAATTTTGTATTAAAATCGAGCAAAAATGGATTAAAAACAACTCAAATTTAATAATTTCTCTTATTCAAGCCATTATTTTGTTTAAATACTTTGATTCAGGTTGAAAATCGATTGGAAATAGCACAAATTGCTTCATTTCAGCCAAAAATTAAGATTGAAGCAATTATTTTTATAAAATACATTAATTTTAAATGAATTCTGTATTAAAATCAAACAAGATTGAATTGAAAGTTGCTTAAATTGCTTTATTTTGGAAGAAAACTCTCATTCAAGCCATTATTTTGTTGAAATACTTTGATTTAGGCTGATTTCCGACTTGAAAATGAGCCAAATTGATTGAAAATAGCACAACTTGCTTTATTTCAACCTAAAATTGGGATTGAAACAATTATTTTTATAAAATACATTAAATTTGAATGAATTCTGTATTAAAATTTAGCAAAATTAAATTAAAAATAGATCTAATTGCTTTATTTCGGAAGAAAACTCTTATTCAAGACATTATTTTGTTGAAATACTGTAATTCAGATTGGTTTCCGGCTTAAAATTGAGTCAAATCGATTCATTTTAGCTTAAAATTGAAATTGAGGCAATTATTTTTTATAAAATACATTATATTTGAATGAATTCTATATTAAAATCAAGCAAAACTGAAATGAAAATAGCTCAAATTGTTTTATTTTAGAAGAAAACTCTTAATCAAGCCATTATTTGAAATACTTTGATTCAAGTTGATTTCCTACTTGAAAATGAGCCAAAACAATTGAAAATAGTTTTATTCCAGCCTAAAATTGTGATTGAAACAATTATTTTTATAAAATACATTAATTTTGAATGACTTTTGTATTAAAATCAAGCAAAATTGAATTGAAAATAGCTCAAATTGCTTTATTTTGGAAGAAAACTCTAATTTAAGGCATTATTTTGTTGAAATACTTTGATTCAGGTTGATTTCCGACTTAAAATTGAACCAAATCGATTGGAAATAGCACAAATTGCTTCATTTTAGCCTAAAATTGGGATTTAAGAAATTATTTTTATAAAATATATTAATTTGGCATGAATTCTGTATTAAAATCGAGCAAAATTGAATTGCATATTGCTCAAACTGCTTTATTTTGCAAGAAAACTCTTATTCAAGCAATTATTTTTTGAAATATTTTGATTTAGAATGATTTCTGTGTTAAAATCAAGCAAAATTGATTTGAAATTAGCTCAAATTGCTTTATTTTGGAAGAAAACTCTTATTCAATCCATTATTTTGTTGAAATACTTTGTTTTAGGTTGATTTCCGGCTTGAAAATGAGCCAAATCGATTGAAAATAGCACAAATTGCTTTATTTCAACCTAAAATTGGGATTGAAGCAATTATTTTCATTCAAAATACATTAATTTTGAATGAATTCTGTTTTAAAATCGAGATAGTTGCTCAAATTCCTTTATTTAAAAAAAAACTCTTATTCAAGCCATTATATTGTTGAAATACTTTGTTCTAGGTTGATTTCCGGTTTGAAAATAAGCCAAATCGATTGAAAATAGCAGAAATTGCTTTATTTTAGCCTAAAATTAAAATTGAAGCAATTATTTTTATAAAATCCATTAATTTTGAATTAATTCTGTATTAAAATCGAGCAAAATTGATTTGAAATTAGCTCAAATTGCTTTATTTTGGAAGAAAACTTTTATTCAAGACATTATTTTGTTGAAATACTTTGATTCAAGTTGATTTCTTGCTTGAAAATGAGCGAAATCGATTGAAAATATCACAAAACGCTTTATTATTTTTATAAAATACATTAGTTTAGAATGTATTTTGTATTAAAATCGAGAAAAATTAGATTGAAGCTAGTTATTTTGGAAGAAATCTGTTATTCAAGTCATTATTTGAGGTTGATTTGAGAAATAAATTGTTTTGTAGGTCCATATTTGAGGGCGCATCAAAATACGACATTCTGAGTTATTTGGTTGACGCAAAAGAGCGGGGAATTGTCCAAGAAGACAATTACTCGTACAATGATGATACCAAAGAAACCTACAACAGGATCTGCCATATAAGTACTGTGAGCGATTCCAGTGAAGACAACAGTCTGATAATGCCAAGTAATTTAATCGACGATAAAGTCCCCTTCCAGAAGACAGCAGAAGTCGAGAGAAATGACTCTGGTGTTGGTTCCGAGACCAGCAAAAGTTCCTTAAGCAAATACCGAATGAAACAAGAAACCACCACGACTTGTGAAGACTGCGAGGCAGTTCTTGAGTCGAGTCAAGACACCGAACCTTTGATTTGTCGCAAATGTTTGAAAAAACGGTCGGAACGGAAGGAAATCATCACCGAGATTGTGGAAACTGAGGAGAAGTATAGTCGGGATTTGCAGATTATTCTAGAGGAGTTTTACCAACCCATGTTGGTGGCTGGGCTCCTGACACCGGAACAATTATCTGCGATTTTCCTAAATGTGGAGGAACTCCTGGAAAACAGTCAAAGTCTCGCGGAACGGTTAAGAGACGCCGTGGAAATCGCAGTTGAGCAAGGGGATGAGGACCTCCTCACTGTCAACATCGGCAAGATTTTCCTCGAAGCGGCCCCCATGTTGCACGGATTTGAAACCTATTGCGTCCGACAAGGCGCCGCCAGTCTTCTTTTAGCTAGTCTAGAGAAAGAGAAGGAGCTTCTCAGGATTTTCCTGCGAGTGTCTCAAATGGAGAATACAATGCTGAGAAGAATGAATTTGAATTCTTTTCTCATGGTACCTGTTCAACGTGTCACTAAATACCCATTGTTGCTGGCGCGTTTGTATAAGGTTACGCCGGTGCATCATGAAACGAGAGAACAGTTGAAGGAAGCCCAACACAAGATTGAGTTACATCTGAATCACATGAATTCCGAAACGAAAGATGTGCCAAGCAAATTGTGGAGGAGGATTGGGAGTAGTTCCGGGAGGAGGTCAAGCACCGAAATGGATTTGGTTAATATAAAGTTGAGGAAGATTGCTGTTGATGTGTTGGAGTGGAATCATGATGAAGCCAAGTTTGCCTTGGAGGGAAAATTGTTGTTTACTCAACCGACTGATAATAATTGGAGGAAAGGGAGGACGATAAAGCTGACGCCGGTGAATGCCCTCCTTGTGATCAATGGCAAGGTAAGTAGATCTATTTTTATTAAAATGAGTATTTTCTATAAAAAAATAAGGAGCCAACATAGATTTTTCTATTATTAAAATTATTAAAAAATTCGAAATCTGATTATCTGGAGTTGTTTTTTAGCGCTATTCTTAATAAACTGTTCTATTTTTTTTCTCTTATCACAAAATTAGAACTACACAGTACTGTGTAATACGTTTTAAAGGGCAAAAGTAACCCCTATCTTCCACAGGAATGAAGATATTAAAGGTTGAAATTTCAACATTGCTATTTGAGACAGTTCCTGTTGTCCGAACAATCTAAAATTTTGAATTCTCGTCACAATAAAATAATAATATTTATGTTAGTTAATAAGTTATTAACAATTGTTATAAACAATTATCAATATCTCGGCCCCTAATTGGAATACGAAGATGAAACCAACTCCATTTGATAGAACAGAAAAATTCCTACAAGGTGCTGGGTTTGTAAGGGCAAAACTAACTTTATCTCCCACAGGGACGAAGATATTACAGACTGAAATTTTAACATCAATATTTGAGACAGATTCAATACTCTTTGTGTTTAAAATTTAAAGAATTTTGTAAAACAATAAATAAAAAAGACTAAGAAATGAAAAATAAACATACAGGGTGTCCCAGAGCTCCGTATTTCTTCGATTTTTCTAACAGTAAAGAAGATAACGAAATGCGGTTTATTTTGAACGATAGACATTCATTTTTTCTATGATCCAAAAATATTTTCGTCATTATAGGTGATTCCTATATAGGGTGGAGCAACAAAGTTATATTTTTTCTTATGGAACATCCGGTATATTATGCGCTTATTTGAAAGAGGTTTTAATTTTTAGAAAACCCATATAAGGTTTTATGGAGCTATCATGGACCGTTTATCATTTATGGATACTTTTATACCATTTTGAAAAATCGCAGCGGCTTTGCTAGAAAGAAAATGTGAATAAAAACAATTGCAATAATTTTTACTGAGTCTGGTCCTAAATTATTATGGTTGAAATAATGTAACTTTAAAAAATTATCCAACTTTTTTAGAAGATTGATTTTTAATAAGATGTACAATAAAACAGGTAAGGTTTAGACCTCCAAACCCTAGGTTTTTTAGAAAGCTTATTAAAAGCTCTACACGATAAAATAATAACATAAAGGGTGTTTCATTTGAAAAAATCAAGTTACTTGATATTTTGAGAATCTCAATTCTCGGCAGTAGTTGCAAAAGATTGATCAAATTTCTACCTAACTTTAATATGGATATTCTTAGAATTAAAAACTTTTTCAAATGAGCTCATAATATACCGGGTGTTTCGTTATCTTCTTTGCTCACAGAGTAATCGAAGAAATACGGAGCTCTGACACAGTCTGTATATTTAAAAAAAAAATTTTAAAACAAGATCATATTTAAAACAAATATACCAAAAAGTAAAAAATATTTTTTTCTATCAAAGAAAAACATTATTTGTACTTACGGCTTAAATTTTAAAAATTTATAAAAGCTTTGGGGGCGGTCAATTAAGCAAAGTAATTTCAAAGCTTTTATAAATTTTAAAAACTTAAACTAAATGTTCTTCTGTGATAGAAAAAAATATTTTTTCGTTTTAGCATATTTTTTCTAAATAAAAGCATATTTAAAAAAATATCTTATTTATCTATTTTTATTTACATTTTTTTTTAATATTTTCGAAATGAAAATTATCTGATTACAAATTGTCATGAAGTAAAAATGTCACTGTTTACGCCAAAATAGTGGAACTTTTTATTTCTGTTATCTAGTCACAAAAGTGTCACTTTTTTGGCGTTTGGAAATAAAGTTTGTTTGTGTAGAAAAAAAATTATGTAGGAAAAGATTTGTTTTAATCTTTAGCATAAAAAAATAACATTACAATAACAGTAGAACTATTTGTGATA